CAATTTGGAAATATTTAATTATGTTTGGAATTTAATTTGTATTGAGTAACACAAGATTTCTGAGACCTTCCATGATTATGTGCCTGCTGCATTCTTTCTCTATTTAGTTAGATTTTAAACTTCACTCTAATCCTTGTGGGAAGGATATCATGAGCAGTCCTCATAGGAATAGGGAAGAAAGCAACAGCTTCAAGATACCACTCTGGAAGAGAATAAAGGGATTCTTATGACCAGAGGCAGTGATTCCCAGACCTTTGTAACATTTTAAAGTCATATGTACTTTTTTTTTATTGTATTCCTGTTAATTTTTGATATCTTCATGATGAAACTCAAAATGACCCTGGCTTGTTTTTCAGGACAACCAGGAAGTAAGGAACTGGGGAGATTGCTTTCTTCTCCCCAGCCCTGCAAAAGTGTGATTGATACCCAAGGGAGGGTGTGGGCAGGAGTAGTTTTAATGAGGAAGAAAAGGCAGGCCTACTCTTTCAGGCTATATGGGAAGAAAGCTGGGCCTGGGAGACTGTCTGGGCTGGAGAAGCAGCAGTTCTTAACACTGATAAATGATTTAGTTGAAAAAAATAAATGAAGAACCTCTGACTAACACCAGAGTTATTATACTATATGCCAGGGCAAACAATTTTGTAGATGGCAAATCCTTCTTGAATCTTGTCCAAAAATGGAGTCTGAGTTAGGAATCAGACAACTTAATTATGATAGAATCGTTTGTTCCCAGGTTGCTCTATGCCCTGAGAAGAGTGTGACCAGGAGTCAGAATAATACTTTTATCTTATTTTGTAGAGAAATAAAAAAATTGAAGAGAAAATACATGCATATAGTACCAAGGTTGTAAAATTTTAAGTTTCTTTTCTGCACACACATACATGCATAATTCAAGGTTACATTTAGTGAAATGTTAATTTTCAGAGGAATTTGGAATAAACTTCAGATTCAGTGAAATTGGAGCAGCGCTATAAGAATTTATTTCAAACTTAAAACATCTTTATGATTCACAGAATAATTATGTTAAGAAAACTTTAATATGCAATGCGTTTTGTGCAGAACTACTCTGTGGCATGTTCTGAGAGAAATTTTCTCTCAAGAAATTTTCTGACTCTTTTTGATTCAGGCAGAATTTAAGTGAAATTTAATATGGTTATTACCAAATGATTTATGAACCTTAATACTCATGAGGAAAATTAAGAATTTTAGTAATTGGAAAATAAAGTTATTTAAATTGTCTCAGTTTATCTGTTTAAATTGAACTTATCTATTTAATGCATTCTTGTGAAATTTGAACTTTCTTCCACTCTTATAATATCTAAAAATCTGTTCTGGGATTCTTATTTCATTTTTAAAAATTGTTTATTTTTTTCTCTTGGGCTAAATGAATGTAGTGTATGGATTGGAGCCTGAATTATTTCATTCCCTTTCTTATTCTGAAAGAGAAAACAACTTGGTTGTGGGCTTAATTCGACATGCTTTATTCCTTAAATGTTTAGGAAAAGAAAAGAGTCTCCTACTACTCTTTGTCTAGTTCCAGATATTCTGGACAATTATGGTGACTCATAACCATACCATAGTTGACTTTGTATTACTTTCTGAGGGAAAAGTATCCTTCTGGGTGAGAAGTGAGCCCTGCCTTAGCTCAGTGCCTCTCATACTTTTTCAGGGAAGGACCAGTAATAGTGGTAGAGCAGAGCCCTAAAGGAGACATCTGAAAGCAAGAGACAGCTGTGAAGTTCTGTTTCGTCTTGATGCAGTTTTTATTTCCACATCATAACAGTTGGCTTAGTGGTTATAAAATAATTGCTTCTCCCCCATCTAATCCCCTCCAACCTCAATAAATTGATGTTCTAGAAAGGTGCTTTAGGTTTATTTTGTGACTGTGCATGCCCTAAACAAACCATTAAGTACCCCCAAGGCCTATCCTTACCCATTTTGAGAAATGTTGCCTTATGGGATTCCAACCTTATTTAAATCCTAATTGCACATTTTAGAGCTGCAGGCTTTAAACTGGTCTAGGTCTAGATCTGTCAGGTAAATCACGTCTGATTACAGATATTATCCTCTCCAAATTATCTGCCATCTCTTGGGACAAATGATTCTGGGCTTTGCTGTCTTCTCTCAGTGCCATTCTACCTCTTTTCATCACTTGACCAGCACCGAGACTTCAGTTTGCAAAACCATCCACTTTATCTTTAACCTTTTCAATTTAATTTCTTTTCTGAAATGTTTTTGTAAAATTGCCTTTAGTTCTCTCCTGCTCACTATTCCATTGGCGTTTTTTTCTGTTAAATTTTAGCCTTCTCCATTTTTCAGCATTTCCACTATTGATGGTGCACCACTGTGTCAGGCCATTTGGATAGGTTGTGCTGTTGTAGCAATATCTCAGTGTCTTTCAACAACGGATAGTTATTTCTCAATTATGAAAACACACGTGGTAGATGTACTTCATGTTCCCTTTACTTTATGATGCAGTCTGGAGAAACAACCCCTATCATATAGGTAGACCTATATGATGACCCTTACATCTTCTGCTCAGAGCAGCACATATCACTTCCACTCACATTTCACTGGCCAAGTCAAGTCCTACAGCCAAGCTTGATGTCTATAGGGCAGGAAGTATAATCCTCCTCCCAGACAGATCTAATAGGGAGATGCAGCATAGTTATGACAAGAATAAAATATCTCAGAACCATAGCTTTTCAGCTATTTCTGTACTCAGAATCTAGCACAGTACCCATCACATAATAGATATTCAGTAGGGGAAAACCTATTTCCTTCTTCCCAAAATTCTTACTTTTCATGATGGTATTGAGGACCTTGGCCTGATTCTGCCTGTTTCTTCCCTGGATCTTCTTCATCCTCTGCCTTTACAAGTGTTTATTGTCAACATTTTCTCTTCGGTCTCTATCCTTCCAGATAGTTTTCCACTGCATTTGATGTTTTAGAAATCCATCTTTTTTTTTTTTTTTTTTTTTAAATTTAGCTCATGGTAGTTTACATTCACACTATATTTCTGAATGGCTCAGCAAGACAAGGGAAAGCTAGAATTTTGATTTTAAACCATACTGAGACATGAGAAAGGGAGGCAGTTATTTAGAATTTTGATGATTTCTGTTTTGCCATTCTGAATAAAACTATCCTGGAAATGAATGAACCCTAAGCTTTTATCTGATAATACCTGGGTTTACAAAGCTGACAAAAGTAGCTTGAGATTAGTGCAGATAAAGAAAACCTCACCTGAGCTTTACATAGATTTCATAGAAATAATGTCACTATACCTGCACTATACCATACAGAAAAAATTCTCATACAGAATTCCTTTTGGGGTCCAGCATAGTCTTGAACACTTCTTTTCAGAGTTTCTTTGAATTAATCACTGTCTTTAAATGCGATGGGTATTTTGTGTTTGCTTTGTACTCCAAACATCTTGAATGGCTGTTAGCTAAATGTAATCTTTGCAGTTTTTCTATTTAGATATTTTAGTTCTCATATTAGATTGTAATTTACTAAAGGAAGTAGGTTTTTTTTCCCCTTAATCCCTCCACCTCCTTTATGGTAAATACTGACAAATGAATGTGACTTAAATATGACTATTACAGTTGTTATATTATTAATAGTATTATATATTATTATATTACGTGTATTATATATTATTATCTCAATGGTTAATAATACATTTAATAATATAGCAACTATAATAGTCATATTTAAGTCAATCATTTGTTATATTTCATATATAAAATAATATATATGATATTTAACATATATTATTAATTATCAAGGTGGAGTTATTCAGTATGCTAGTTCTCTGCAATTTTGTTAAATGATTGTTAAATGATTATGCAATTAAAGTGTATATATTTTTACATTTTCAGTTGCAGTGTCATAGCACACACTGTGGGTGCCCTAGCACCTACCTTTTCTGAACCCACTAGATTTATTTGCAGCTGCCAGCAAGGGCAGCTCTTTGCCTGAGGGTTTTTTCTGGTTACCAGAGATCTCTCTACCCCTGTATGGACATAATGGGGGTATTAATGTCCCTCAGGAGCAGCCCCCAAACAGTGACTGACAGGAGTTAATAGACAAATGCCCCAGCTCCCTTGCCCCTCAGGGTGTTTGACGCTGTCTCCCAGAGTTCCCCGGTGGGAGTAAGACTGGTTGCTCACCATAGAAACTTGCTTGATATTGTACCCTGTGATGGCTTTTCCAGTCCCTGCTTCACTTCTGCATGCCCCTATTGCCATTTCCTGGGTTAACTCCATATTAAGCTATGATCTGATCCTAGTCTCAGCATCTCAGAGTTTGTAAGAGTAACTCAAACCAAAACTAGGATTCATATGTCAAATTTACATTTTAACAATTTCTCTATTTCAGTAATGCCCGATAGAAATATAATTACAAACCATGTACATAATTTAAATTTTACTAGTGTTTCCACTTAAAAAGTGAAAAGAAACAGGTGAAATTAATTTTAATAACAGTTGTTTACTTCAATATAGCCAAAAATATTATCATTTTTAACATGCAGTTGATATAAAGCATGTTAATGAAATCTTTTGTACTAAGACTCTGAAATCTGGCATGTAATTTACACTTACAGTATACCTCTATTCAGACTAGTAATGTTGCAAGCACTCAAGAGCCATGTGGCTAGTGGCTACTATATTGGACAATGGTGATCAGTTCCCTACCATTGTAACCCATGTGTCAGAATTTAGAGACTTTCCAAGTCTTGAATATATGGGAGACTGTATGGTGAACCACAGTTTGCATTCTTAGCAAAATTATATTTGCCTTGTCCTTTTCTTTTATGCTGAACAAAATCTCTAAACATCTGGACTGATGGGCACCTTGTTTAGTCTGTGTCTACATATTTATGTTCTTTTAAGAATGAGCCTCTGGCAATAATAACTCTGAGACTTACTGCTTTGTACATATTTGTATGTAAAATATAGGCAAAATGCTTAATATCTCTGCTTTTGTGTGTTTTTTAGGCAGAGGGTACAAGACTTCAGCGAGAACTCCGAGGATATTTAGCAGCTATCAAAGGTAATGTGTGTGAGTTGCTTACTATATGTTACCAGGCACGGGTTGATCTTGGAATTCATGAGTGACAGGATTGAGAGTTAATTATAAAACCGTTTGGCTTTCAGGCAAAATGGTACTTGAGCACAGGTTTTGCATTCTACCCGCTCCCAAATTCCCACTGAATATGAAGCAAAGAAATGAGACCAGGGGCAGAGGTTAAGAGAGAGTAGTAGGGAAGTGGACTCCATCTCTGCCTGTGGTAATCCAGCTCCCTGCACAAATCCAAGTACACTGATGGGTGTGATGGATCACAAGGCAGATTTTGAGATCAGTAGGGAGAGAATGGATTGTCTGACAAGGAGTCTTGGGTAACCTGGCCAAACACTCAGAAAAAGGTGAAATTCCCAACCTCACACTCTACTCCTTCTTTCTCAATTCCAGATATAGTAAAAATTTAAAAATGTGTACAAAGAGATGTTCTAGATTACTAGTATAAAATACAATAAACTTAGCTTTTAGTCTTGGGTGACAAGGTCTTTACTGGAGTAACCCAAAAAACTGAAAGCATAAAGGAAAGAGAAAGGTTGAGAGAGATTTGACCTTGCAAAATGTATATACATATGTTTGAAAATATTATATTGACAACATACTTAATGAAAATGAAACAAGATATAAAGAGCTCATTAAGTCAACTAAACAAGGATCAATTAATTGAAAGAAAGAATGGGTAGACATATGAAGAGAAAATTAGCTGAGGAAGAACAATAGATGGGTAAGAAATTGGAAAATGCTTATCCTCACAAATGATTAAAGGATATTAAATAAAATCAAAAGGGAGATGCTGTCATTTTTCTTTCAAATGTTCAAAGACCAAAAAAAAAAAAAAAAAAAAAAATCCTACCTAGCATTGCCAAAGCTGTGGGAACAGATCCCTTTCAAACACTGCTGGTAGGATAGCCTTTCTTGGTGAACAATTTGGTAAAAGTCTTTAAATGAATTGTTTGTTCAGCATGCCTTTTGACATAGTAGTTCCATTTCCAGAAATTTATTCTAAGAGTTTCAGTGTCTGAAATTTGATTACAAAGACAGTGATAAATAATAAAATAATGAAAATCTTAATAAAAATTAATCATAATAATAAATTTAGTGAAATTGATTTTTAAACTAAAATATAATTAAGTTATATGCAAGGCATGTAATTTTAATCTTCATGACAACTCTGTGAGGCAGGTAGTTTTATCACCTTTTATAGATAATAAATTTTATAGATAAGAAATTATGGATAATTTTATATATAAGAAAAGTAAAGCACAGTGTGTGTCTAGTAAACACCAGAGCTAGAAAACATACTGTGATCTGTGTGTCTCCTAAGGCCCTACTTTTATCCACTCTCTATACTGCCTTTGAACTAGATGACCATTGGTAGGGCAGCAGTTTCACAAAACAAAGTTCATTTATACAATGGAATGATGATGACTTACTATTACTTTCTGATGAGCACTTATTATGTGTTAGGCTGTGTACTAAGCATTTTAGACATAAAACCACCCAACACAGCTGTATGGTAAATGATATCAGCCTTATTTTATTTTTGCAAAGAAAAGTCAGAGAATTTAATTTCCACAAATTCATAGAGTTCATAATTAACTGTGCTAAAAGAATTAACCTTAAGAATTTATTATTTATGATAATTCAGTCAGAAAATAGAAGGCATTCTAGGTATTTCTTTAATTATTGATTTAAGATTTGATAAGATTTAAGACAAGAAGTCATAAATTATTTCAAGCACAGGATTTTTTCTATCTTAGCTGATTTTTTAAGAAGTGGATACATTTGTTAAATGAATGAGTAAATTAGATCTCTTTCCCAAGTCTATATATTTTGGTCTATTTTACTGCCTTAGTATGGAGAATGCTGTTTTAAAAAACTGGCATAATTCTTGTCCTTAAGGTGAATCCTCTGAGTAAAGCATTAGTTCCACAGAGGCATTGGATGCACCATCAAAGCAGCCTTTCATTCCACTTCTGTTTTTTATTTTAAATAAAATTTATTAGGGTGACATTAGTTAACAAAATCATATAAGTTTCAAGTGTACAATTCAATAATACATCATATATATATGTGTGTATATATATATCTATATCTATCTATCTGTCTATCGATAGATAGATAGATAGATAGATAGATAGATAGATAGATCTTTTTTTTTCATTGTATGTTCACCACCCAAAGTTAAATCTTTCTGCTACCATATATTTGACCCCCTTTACCCATATCTATTCCCTTCCCACTCCACTTCCCTCTGGTAACCACTAAACTGTTGTTCATATCCATGTCTGTTTTTGTCATGTTCATTTGTTGCTTTCCAAAATATACAAAGAACTCATACAACTCAACAATAAAAAACAAGCAATCTAACAAATGGACAGAGGACCTGAACAGACACTTCATTTTACTTCCAAAGACCACATCTCCACTTGAAGGAAAAAGGACCTAACATCAGCTTTTCCCCCCAATCATCCCATTTGCTGTTTGAGTGATATTAACAAATGATACTTCATAAAAGAGATCAACGTTGAAATTACTTTGGCCAGTGCTGGTTGGAATGAATTTTTAAAGAGGTTACTACAGAGTTTATCAGAGCCCTTAATATGTTAATGTAATCACCAGAAGACCTAATGGGGTAGGCAGCATTTCCCAGTTATTTGACTGTGAAATACTTAGTCTTACAAAGATTTGGAGTTCCTCAGAGCACATTTTGCATTTTGAGAACACACTTAAAGACAAGGTTATATATTAAATAGATCACAATTTGCATTTTCAAAGTGCTTTCATGGCCAATTTTTCTGTTTTTCACAAAAATAACTCTAACCAGCTAGTTGTACTATATTGCAGGCAGCATTATAGAGAAATGAGATCTGGCCCTGAAGAGTGAGGGGCCCTGGGTCTGGTCCCAGGAACAGCAGTGGAAAAAATCATCCATCTTCTCAGCTACTTTAGTTTCCTCATCTATAAAGGGTTCCATTTGCTCTTAGAAGCTCCCAAATCTCTATCACTGGGGTTCTGTGAAATTGGGTTCAATGAGCTCTACTCACCATCACTAATCTCTGGTAGGGCAGCAGTTTCACAAAACAAAGTTCATTCGTATAATGGAATGATGATGACTTCATTCACCTCTGTAGGTCTGTATTGTTTTTGCTGATGCTTCGGCTTTGCAAGGTAGATCTTATGCTCTCATTCACCTTAGCAGCAAACATCACATTGAGCCTCATTTATGTTCTAGGAGATTGAGATGCAGGGATGAACAGGACACAGTTCCTTCTGTCCTGGAGCTCACAGTGGAGATGAGAAAAAAGTTGGATAAACAAAACAGCCAGATATGCATAGTAATATGTATTTTAACAGAAGTGTGCATTGTGTACTGCTGCATGAGAAGGCTGTGTATGCAAAGCGGCCCCCAAATGCTGAAGGAGCTGAGAGACCAAAGAACAAGGCAGACAAGCCCAGCTTATAGATTTAGAGTTTAATGGGGAACTCCCATACTAAAATTGGCTCTGGGCTACTGTAGGACAATCAGATCTCTGCATCTTTCACCCTCTAGACCATTCTTTTATCCTGGCTTAGAGACGGGCCTATGTGCTAGGAAAGGAGTGTGTGAGTAGTCAAGAGGAGACCAAAAGACCAAATACCAGCAGGTACCGGCACCAGGCTAAGTTAAGGGATAGAAAACATCTAGGGCTTCTTGCTTCAGAGGAAGGAGTAACAAAAACTCCATGAGTAGCCCAAAACATCTCTCCACATTCCAGAATCCATCCAGGTATCAAAAGTCTGGGCTCATTCATTCAAGATAAGCTAGCCAGTTGAGTTCAAGATGGAGTCAGCTCTCTCCACACATGTGCCATCACAATGAGAATAGACCCCCACTCTACTTAAGGGACAGGATACCAGGTCAGGAATTGTCTTTCCTAGGGACTTACACCTGAATGGACCCAGGAAGGGGGCATACCAAGTCATCAGGTCATAAGATATGCCAGAGAAAGAGGTTGATGTTGGAAGGACTTTCCAGGTAGAAAAGAAGCAGCAACATGTACAAAGGCCCAAGGAGCAGGAGGGAACATGAGCTTTTTAGGGAACAAGTGTATCAGTGAGGGCAAGCAGGACACTGAGATGGATGAGACACAGAAAGGTAGGCAGCATTTGTGTAGAGATGTACTTATGTGTCATATCATATTGGGAGTTTATTAGCAGTGGGGAGTTTATTCAGTTAATGGGGAAAAGTGTCCTTATATTATTATAGGCAAGAGAATGAGTCATATGATAGATTAGCATTTTAGAAAAGTAATTGTTGTGGTTGTGTGAAATTCAGGCTAGAGGAAATGAGAGTCTAGATTGATAATAATAATAGCCAACATTTATCGAGAGCTTATGTGCTAGGCACTTACATAAACTTTTACTATTTTATTTTATATAATTCTCACTACAACCTATGGCATGTACTATTATTTTTTAGTAATGTACCTTTGGAAAAATGAGACTTAGGATAGGCAGGTAATTTGCCTAAGATCTCATAGGTGTTACATGATAGAACCAAGATTTTAACAAAGTCGACTTGATTGCGAATAATAATCTTAATTGTTATGCCACATTGCCTCCAAAAATAGTTTTCATTATGGCTGATATTTGAATGTTTACTGTACTTTGCTCAACCATTTATGTGGATATTTTATCTAATCTAAATAATAGATAATGGGTGCCTAATCGAAGACTGTGGTAGTGGGCATGGAAGGAGGGGACTTCTTTTGAGAATCAGGCAGAATTGGCCTGTCTTGCTGACAAAGTCGGAGTAGGAGGATGCTTATAGGATGATTTCCAGTTTTCTAACTGAGACAACTGGGTGATATTCATGAGGATTAGAAAAAGAAGTAGGAGCAGGTTTTGACAGAAGAGTTCCCAATTTCCTTTGAATATGTGAAGTTTGAGGTACTGGTAGGACATCCTAGCAGAAAGGTCAAGTAAGAACCTGGAATTAGGAATCATGGGCATGTGGGTGGTGGTGGAGGCCAGACACAGGGATAATGAACACACAGGATCATTCTCTAAGAGGAATGTGTCCCCAGTGGTGTAACTAATTGTATGTGACTCATTATGTATCAGCCTGACCCCAGAGGTAGGGTTGACTGTTCTTGAGCTGCCTCACAATCTGCTGTTTTCCCTCACTCCTGTTCTCCTCTTTGAAACGGTAGGCAAAAGACTTCCTTTCACCTGAGGCAGCTGCTGCCTTCTTAAATAACTCACTTCTAAACAATGGGCAAAACTTGCAATATTTTTAGATATTTTAATGCTCCATAGCTGCTGCTGGTTATTATAATAATATATTTTAACTGATGTTACTTTTAACTAAACACATACCCTCATACTGCCCAAGCAAAGAAGACTCGTAGCAGTGCAATCTATGCAACAAATCTTAGAGGATTAAAATAGAAGCTCACAAATTTGATTGCAAATGCAAATAGAGGTTGTTACAATAAACGCTTTGGAGAAGGTTTAAAATTTTGAAGAGGGGGAAGTGGTTCCTATCCAGTAGTAAAATAGCAATTTTGTGAAAATTACTAATCTTTTAAGAAAATATTGGATATTAGATATTATTAAATGCCGTTTAGCATCTATTCTGCTCTAACATTGCCAAATTGCATTGAAGGGAACTTGAGTTTTAGCTTTTTTTCCCTCTTTTATGTCCTGTCAGCAGAGTAAATTCTAAATCCTTGAAATCTCTGCTAGTCTTTGTGCTCCTTAAGAGCAAAGCCTGTGGTCTTGTTTACTTGTGTACCCATCAGAGTACTCCCTATGAAGTGTTCTAGAAACAATTATTATGTCAAAATGGATTCTTTCCAAATTATCCATCACTACTTAGCCACATAACAATTAGTAGTTATTTTTGGCTGTTAATAGATATATTACTGCAACATTGTGCTTTTAACCTCAATGAGTAAGGACTCATATAATTTTATTTTAAGCCTACATTCACCATTTTATTTTCACCACAAAGATTATTTTTCCTATAATGCCATTGTTTCTTTTTCTTCCTCTTAAGACATTAACCTATCTATATAGCTGTGCATAATTTACATCAGATGTAAGACAGAGCTTTAAAAGAAAACTTCAGAAGCTTTTTGGCATCTGAATTACAGAATGGGGTCAACAAGCAACCAACTTTTGGTATGAATTTGAGGGGTACATTCTTAGTATAGATTTGCTTGTACTTAGGGTGGGGTGAATTTGGACACTCAAGATCATATTGCTACCACCTCAGCAATGACAACATGTACAAGAGAGAGCATCCTCACTTGATTAGATTCAAAGTGCTAGGGGAAAGATACAGGTTTTTGCACTACTTTTTTGGCCTTCTCTACACCTACTTGATTCTTATTTCATCAGATACCCCAGCGACTTGAGTCATCACTATTTTTTCCCTCCCTAGCCTACTTTTCAGCTGGTGTGGCTATGTACCCTTTTTTAAGGGGCTCCTTTAACATGCTTACTGCTATACTGCATGGGGAAAAGGGTACAGGGTTTCCACTTCACATGGCCCTGAAACACGTTCAAATCTCTAATGTGCAAAGACCAAATGTATATCTCCGTTTTATCAGGGGAAGGAAAGTGAGGATGGTCTGTGCCTAGAGAGCGAAAAAGTGCTATGAAATACCAAATTATATGTTGACTTTTATAAGACTTCTATCATTTCAGACACCTTCCTTTATTTTGTTCTTTTCTCTCACAATCGAACCCAGAAGTAGTTCCCTTAAATTCAACAAACACGTGGTTGAGTTTAGAGTGTTGCAGCTTTCAGTTTAATGAAAACCTCCATCTTTGACTCATTGGCATTAAGTTTATGAAATGCTTTTTGTTTTTTTGTTTGCTTCTAATGATGCCACTTGGATTTTTCTCTCCTCTTCCTTTATCCAGCCCCTTTTCATATTCCCTAGTGACAAAAGCCAAGAAACCAAATCGGCCAGGTCTCACTTTCCAGCTGTTAGGGAGTCTGCTGCCAGAGAGGCACTTCTCCAAGTCGCCAGCCAAAGAATTCACCTTATTTTTTTCTCAGGCTGAGCTGTCTTCATGGTAATCCACACATTACTTTCCATGTTTTGAAGGAGGAGCGGCGGGGAGACTGGGAAAGACTTGGTGATATTTTATATCACCATGTGGCACTCAAAAAATTTATATCTTTCCTATTATTAATAACCAGTTTTTTTAAAACCTGGCAAATGTACTTCTAATGAAAATTCTAACCCATAGACTTAAGAATGCTAAGCCTGATTTAAAACTGTCTATATAGCTTCCGATAATATCAGAAAAAGAAAAACGTTTTTTCTTTTGAAAATTTTTAGGCCACTTAAGCTACTTTAAACTGAAATCCTGTTGATTTTGCTTTGGCCTGCTTCTAAAGTCATTTAGGATTAATTTATTCTTAGAACTCTGTTGTTTTATGAACAAGTGTTCTAGGTGTCCTATGCATTTATGGTTCCAACATGCCATTTAGCAAGTGACAGCACACATAATAAGACACAATTTTATTGTTGTTTTCAGAATAGAATACCTTGTTGATTTTATTAAAACCTAATATCTATCATTATCATGTAAACTATAAAAAATGCACAATGTAATCAGATAAGTCTTAGAGACCTTCAAGTGGAGATGTGATTACAGATACAATTATCAGTTGTGCCCGTCACAGTTTTTCCTTAAATATCTAGTGAGTGCTCAAGATTTTTCTCTCACTTGGAAAAGTGAAGGAAAGAAGAAGAGACTTCTCACCCATTTATATCTAATAGGAATTGTTTTCTCCAATGCTAGGCATGCAAGAAGCCTCGATGAAGCTCACCGAGTCTCTGCATGAAGTCTATGAGCCTGACTGGTATGGGCGGGAAGAAGTGAAGATGGTTGGCGAGGTAAGAGCCAGGATGACAGCACACAGGAGGTCTGGTGGGGGGCTTCTTTGAGGCTCCCACCAAGTTTTGTGCACTCAGCCTATCCCTGACTCCTCTTACCACTTCTTGGCCTTCATCATGATAGGACACTATGTACCCACAAGACACCATGCAATTCTGCTATCCAGAACATCCCAAATTCAGTTATTAGTGAACTGATTATAAGACCACTTGGCTGGAAAGCTGCGGGTTCAGGATTATTTTCCCTCAAAATAAGAATAGCATGTTTTTGTCCCACACCACATC